CTGCTGCTCTGTACCATTTTTAATAGAGACTGGTAATTATTCTTAGTAGTACTAGTAGTAGTAATAATAATTATATCTCGCTTCCTCCCTCCCAAAGGAGACTCAAAGCAGGATATAAGTGCATATATTCAGCTTTTAGTCCCTGTTAATGCATAGTAAGTCCTTCTTAAAAATGGAATAAGGCAGAAGCAGAGACAGTGGCAACCTCATCAGCTGCTATCTCGAATTGACTTCAAAAGTACTTTTTTCTCTGCTAAATATGGATGAGAGGCTAGAGATATTTACAGTTTTCATGCTTCATGCTTCTAACTCCGGCAGATAGTGTTAGAACATATACAGATAAAAACATAATGCATTCTTGAATGTCCTGCTGAAATGAATACAAAAGGCTTCCTGCTTTTTAAAAGAAATGGACCTATGCAAGTCTGACAGACTTCTAAAATACAGCAGCAGCAGCAAATATTAAGGCAGAACCAGGGGAGAATCTCTGCAACACACTTGTTGCTTTTGTCCTGAAAATTTACAGCACCAGCACATATTCTATAAGTTTTCTTTTATAAATGAGATGTTTAGACTCCTCCATTTTGATGCTACTTTGTGCCCTCTGTTCAAAGGGCCCTCTGTCTCGGCAGTTGCAGCAGAGCAGATTCAGAAAGTTCTGTGCGGAGAAGGAAGTAAAGAGTTTTGGTTCCCATTTTGCACTTCTGGAACAGTTTAAGGAAGGAAGCACCTTTACACCTTTTATTGTTCGTGGTTGCTGACATCATCTCCTTCCCTGACCACTCGGTGTGTGTTTCCTGCCATTCTGTTAAGCATCTTCTGTTGCTGAGCGGGATAGAGAGAATGTGTGAGAGAAGTGGAAGGAGAAGGGGAGGGGGGGAACTGCCCAGCTATATCTGCCCACTGGAACTCAAATCACTCTTTCCTCAACTCTCTGTGCCTTTGCCAAATCACAAAACGAGAAAGAAGCCTGCCAAAGCCAAGTTCCCCTTTTTAGCAAACAGTCTGATTTTTTTAAAGTCTTTGGGTTTCCAAAAGAGGAAAAAATGCTGAAGACTGTAATTCTGCAGAGTGCAGCATTGATTTTTTTTTAAAAGATGCATCTGTTTACGTGTAACTCTGTCATTATCTTGGAAGGTTTCTTTAATGTGGACACTGTTTTGACAGGGCTTCTGGGATAATTTTAGCTTGCCATATAGCAAGGTTTTGACGTTTTGGGGGCTGCGGTGGTTTTTGCAGTTTTCCTAATAAATGTAGCACACATACCTGGAGGTACATTTAAGCAGTTTGCAGATGAAGGTTATTCCTTTGAAAAACTCCAGAGATATTTGTATTTGGGTAATTGTGGATCATTCTAGTATTCTGAAGGGCACAGAACCTCCAAAATGTTTGAAGGCACGTGGATCAAATGTAATTTTCAGTACATCCCATGATGTATTTGAATAACTGCTTTTGTATATCCTTTATTATGTGGGGATAAGTCTTGATGTTGTGTGCCTTGAAGTCATTTCCAACTTAATTGCAACCCAAAGGCAACCCTTTCTGGGGTTTTCTTGAAAGATTTCTTTATGGGGAATTTTCCCCTTCCTTCCTTTGTGACTGAGAGAGTGTGACTTGCCTGAGAACCACCTAATGGGTTTCCATGGCTAAGTGTGGTTTAAACTCTGGTCTCCAGCATTATAATCCATTGCTTGAATGAGTCTTTCTTTTATATGTAAGATATATTCTCTATTTGTGCAAACAATCATTTTTTGTATACAGTTGGTCCTTGGTATCACCTGGGGTTTGGTTCCAGGACTCTGCAGATGCCAAAATCTATGAATGACCAAGTCCCATTAGATGTTGTGAAATGTTGTCTCTTGTATAAAATGGGGAAATCAAGCTTTTCTTTTTGGATTTAAGCCCTGTCTGCAGAATCTGTGGATATGGGTGGCCAACTGTATAGCAAAACCGTTGCCCAGAAGCACATGTGAGGCTTTGGGGGTTTTTTCTGCCTGGGTTTTTTTCTGGTATTAGTAAAATAATGCATGATGAGGAGAAAAATCATGGAAAAGTCACAATAATAAGGATTTGTTGTTGAGCCAGAAAAAAAGAAAATCCCTTTCTGAAACCTATTTTAAACTATTCTACTATCCCAGTCTGTTTGTTTTACAGTTGAGCGGACTATAGTATGTTTGTATATTGGTGTGTAAGCATACCCCAAAACCAACATATGTGTGTGTGGATGGGAACAGTTATCACACTGTTTCTCATTCCTTGCCCTTCCTATATATAAGAAACAACAGTGAAATAATTAGGATCAATGCTTCCTTTTAAAACCAAATGGGCTTCTCCTTTTCTCTTTCCCCCCACCCTCGCCAACTTGTCAACAGATTGTTGCTAGCAATGGGGACAATGATCCAAATCTCTTTACAATCAGGTAAATTGGACATTATCTCCCTGAACCCCATGGGCTTTACTCCTAGATTTATGCCTGGTGGGTCCAAGCAAGAAGTGTTTGTGAGAGTATTTTGAGACTATTTTTTATGTAGCTGCTGAATACTTAACGTTCCTGACACTAGGCTGTTTATAATCCCCCCTTTCTTTCTCTCCCCCCTCCTTCCCCACTTTTCTTCTCTGAAAACTCGGTTTGAAATGTGGAACTGATAGTTGTGTGGGAGGGACTGGCCATGTTGTTACTTCACCGGGGGCTTTGCAAGCATGTCCTAACAGACAAGACTGTCAGCGTTCAGTGATTCCTCCCCCCAATCCCCCCCTTTTTCTCATTCAGCTTCAGAGTCCTGATCTGTAAAGCAGCTCTCATCCTGGCTAACCCTGTCACTACGTCTCTAATCTGTCCACTCTGACCTTCCACCCTCAATAGAATAAGAGCTTAGGGCAGGCGCAGGGGCCGTAAGCCGATAGTGCCTTGGGCTCCACGTGAATGAAAGGAAGGGAAATTGTTCCATATGCATTTGCTGTGGATTAGTCTATTGGCTTACTGTTGTGGAGAAAGCCTGTTAGACTCCTTTGGGTCCTGCACGTACATGGGAATTACCTGGCTTTTTATATCAGAGGTAAGCCTGACTCTTCAAATGGGTGGCAGGGCAGCAACTAAGGAACCAATTCAACCCAAAGAAGTTGGGGGGCAAGGGATTATAACATAGGCATGCTTTGGCAAATGCCAGAGACTTTAGTTTTTCCAAAATTTGCCTAGATGGGGTTTTTCAAAAAATGAAAGTGTTAGTTTTAAATGTCGTGTTTGTGTTAATTCTGTGTTTCAGGGATAAAATGGTTGGATAAGTTTGTGTCACCTGGAACAGTATAAAAGTCACTTAACTGTTTTATATGGCTCTTCCGGCAGAAATGCCTCATTAATGGTATGAGTTGATCCTTACAGTTTTAGGAAACTGGATAAATCTGCTTTCCCGGTATTATAAAGTCAGAATGCCAACAGAAAGGCAGAAAGCTAACTTAAATGTATGCATGTAAATGTATTTAAGCTCCATTGAGTTTGATGGGACTTGGTGTTAATGTTAATATGCATTATAGCCTTACAGTGTACAACATTTTGAAATGCACCGAGTTCAGCAATAGTGTTCTTTGTATTTTTTTAATGATCCTAGTTTCCAAAACTGTGTTATAAAATTAATTGTGCCAAGTAAAATGAAGGAAGAGCTGAAAATCAGCGTACAATTTATTCTAATGGAATAAAACTCTGTAGATAAGCAATGAATTTCCAATCCAGAACTTCTGTGAATCTTACATAATTTTGGGAAGAATTTATCAGGTACCTATAAGAGAACAAACTAGTAATTAACAAAGGAAGCACTAGCTGCATGGTAAATTTCTTCTTAATCTAGAATTATAAAATAATTGCATCAAGAAAGAATAGTGTGGGGGAAAATAAGACAGCACTGAAGCGTTTTACTGTACTAGGAAGCTTGTGGGTTGATATACATAAGACTTTGAAGTAATACATATAAGCATATTTCTTGAAAAAATTATGTTCTACAAAATTGACTTTTAATAAAAATAATTTAAGACTACAATACATTTGGATGCTATTATCTTTTTATATATAGGTGGGAAGTTGAGATTTAGGCTTATGGTGTATATTTTTGCCATTTGATTTATTCCTTTATATGGTGTTTTGTAATGGGTTTGGCATATTTTTGTGATTTCTGACAATTTTGTGGAATATTACTAACACAGTCTCTTGGGCTTTCTCGCCGTGCACTTACTTTTTTTGCTTTCTTTTCCTCCATTGTGTCAAAGATTGATGCACAAATTTTTATTAACAACAACCCCTAGTGCTATGTTTATTTTAGATTGGAATCTAGACTAATATATTAAATATGATGGAAATACAAAGAAATTTTATTTTAGAAGTATTCTATGTGCAGTAGTTCTGCATTCTTCCTCTTTAAAGAAAAATGTAATATAAGGTTAAAAGATTCAGATTTCAGCTGACATTTCTCATATATCAAATAATACTTTAATAATGTTCTGGCCTATTTGCATAATAAGAAACATTATCACTTCTTCTGTTTTCCTTCAAAAGTGAATTAGCTTGATTACTTAGCTTACACAGGTATGGAAAGCTTCATTAACTCCCTGATTTAGGTAATTTTTCATGTTTCTGAGGAAGTATTACAGAAAGGAAGAAATTGGCATCTCTTCGGGGTATAAGAACATACAATATGTTTTGGTTTTTTAGTGATGCTTCCTTTTATACCTTCTAAGTTGTTTGATAGGTGGATATTTTACATTGACATGATCATGTCTTACAGTCATTAGTATGGAATGACATACTGACAAAGAAAGAAAACAACAATCTAGCTTGGACTCATGGAAATAGTAATGCCTAACAATTATTGAATTCCTCACCAATTTATCTGCCTATTTGGCAGTTCTACATACTACCAGGCTAGTTGGTAAAATACCATGAATAGACTTGTTCTGTTAAGATTTTGACTGAGTAACTCCTAACAATTTGCTTTTTTTGTTTGTGTACTTAGCAGGAACGGATGCCTGGGTCTTTGAATTGAGTTGTGGAAGTGCTGAAGGAAAAAGATTGGTTTGAGGAAAGAGAAAAGAGGAAGGAAAGAGAAGAAGAAAATACACAAGTGCAGGAACGAACGAGAGAAGAAAAACGGGGACTATGGGGAGAAAAAAGATTCAGATCACGAGGATTATGGATGAACGTAACAGGCAGGTAAGTTGCAGAAACATTACTGGACTATCTGATCATGGAATAAGTCCTCTTCTACTGGTTAATGTTCAATAAAGGCTGTAAGTAATTCCCATATTTGTCACACAAGATGTATGGGTGGGTACTCACATGTTGCTTCAGAAAGTTTCAAAAGTTTATCATTCAAGTTTTTGCATCTTTTGCAAATAGTTCTACAGTGCAAGACCACAAATATTTACCCAAACATAAATTCCATTGAATTTGGTGGCACTTACAGTTAAGAGAAATCAGTATAAACTTAATATAGTGTCCCCTAGAACTGGGCTTCTTAAACTTTTTCCACTTGCGACCTCTTTCCACCCAATAAATTTTTACATTTCCCCAAGCATTTAAGTATGTAAAATAGGTATAAAAATAAACTTTTACTGAAAATAAATCAGTATTTGCAAAGCTTTCTAAATAGGCTAATTTTCCTTTTTGTAGAATACAGCTGAAGCATTTTCTGCAGTCTCTCCTGTAAACACCTCAAGTTGTTGCTAACAGATTTCTGTAAATTGGAAGCCCTCAGAAACCTTTTACTTTTGCCAATTTTTTGTGGCCCCAACATTGAGCTACGAATATCCCAATCAGGACCCACAATTTAAGAAGCAGCACTCAAGACTGGCTGTGCTATAAGATCTCTGCTGAAAAGATATGTGTACACATGGAGTCATGCCTGAACACATTTTTTTAAAGCTGAGCAAGCGGATTTTGTGATCTCTGTCACTGTGTATCATCTTGATTGGGTTTACCTCTATGACCTGATGAAAACTCACACAGTTCACACGAGACTGTAGAAAAGGGTTCTTCTAATATATTGAAAATAACTTCAGTTTTGAAACTCATGGCTCAAATTGGAGGCATTGATAATGGCAGAATCAAAATTTATTTTTATAATCCACATCTACTGATAGTGGTATGTGGTGGGCTTCATCAAACAAATAATGTTCATCTTGTTTGGATCCTGCTTTAAAATTATCATGAACGTATAACCATAAACTGGATATTTTTAGGCAATATATTCATTCCTTAAATTCTAGTTTTGTCTTGTAATAAAAATACATTTTCATATTTCCATACATTTCTGTATTTCCAAACTATGTATGGAAATATGAAAATAGAAATGTAAGTATACCACAAAACAAATGTGTTAAAATTCACAGCAGCAAAGTAACAGTGTAAATTATTACCTGTTGAAGAAGTGGTTTATTAATGTGTGTTATAAATCCTCTCTCATATTGCTGACAAGCAGTGACATTTTGCTTAAGTTTTATGGATAATGCAGATTTGTCCCACATAGTTAATAGGTTCTTTTTAGATCTTAAATGCTCTAATCCTGACCAAGGAGTGAGTGGCAAAGTGTTGCCTTCTGCATTAATTTCAGACAGATAATAGCTGCATACTTTATTTTTGAGGTAGTTTGTAGAGATGTATATTCCCATTTTTGTAAGAAGATTGCTGAGAAAATATATCCTCATGAGGTCTCCATAGTGTTGTGGAGAAGTCTATGCACATCACACTGTGTGTTTAATCTGCATCAGTTGGTGTTATGGAGGCAGAGTTCTCAATCCACCACTAGAACCTGTATCATAGCCCCAAATCCTGAACACAAGCTTTGTCTGAAAGCTTCTTTACTGATCTGGGTATGCTTCTTTTTTTAAAAAAAACAAAACACCAAAGTTTGGAAGTGTTGCATTCATATACTTTCTCCCAGAATCATCAGACAGCATGACCACTGACAAAACGAGCTGTGAAAGTTGAGAAATAGTAGTGTTTTCCAATATCTGAAAATCTCATGTAGAATGTTCCAGTGAGCCACGTGTGAAATTTGAAAACATTGTATGAATATAATTTGGCTTCCTTGTGGCAGAAAATCAAGTTTGAAATAAAGCAGAAGATGATATTTACGACAAATGTTTCCCACTAGATGGCTTATTACTTAGGTCAAGCCATAATTCTGTCAGTATCAAAGCTTCATACTTGTTTTAACTGCTTGAAGCTCAGCATTTCAATTTTAAACAAAGTACCGAAAGGCATTAAGTATGTGCATAGATAGTTATTGCCATGAACATGAGGGATTAATAGTTTTGTTTAAAATGGTCTTGTTAATGTTTCATTTGTAATATATATCAATCTGTTTTCTGTCTGAGAATTCTAAATACCTCCTCCTTCAACTGTGAATCCCAGAATCCCGTAACATGGAACCAGAGTAGTTACAATGGAATCACAGTAGTACAATTGCATTCTTTTTAAGGGCCCCTGGAGTACCAATTTGTTATAACCTTAAGTTCTCAATCTGTTTCCACTTAGTGTAAAGAGAAAATACACTAAGCATGGTTCATTCCAGATACACATTTTAAGTCCCCTTTAATTCTAGGGGAAACAATATATTTGCTTATCTCTCTTTTCTTAAATCAAGGGGACTAGCTTACTTATCTTTGTACAGGTTGTTCCTATAACAGGCTACTGAACTTCCCCCAGCTCTATGACGACAATGATATTGGACTTTATTTCCTTACCTGGAAACGAGATTGTTCTTCTCTTGTGACCTGAAAAATGACATATGTTCTCTTCTTTCATAACAGCGGTGCCAACCATACAATCCACTGTTTCTGTTTCACTCTAGCCGAGCATGAAAACACAAGCAAAACCCAGCAGCTCATAAAATGTGTTTCATTTTAGTAAATAAATTAAAATAGGATCATAATTTTACCTTCTTTGACTATATAACATCATAAAATCCACATTGCAATCTCATTCTTTTTCCTCTTTAACATTTGAAATGTTTGACTAGTTTTTAAATAGAATCTGAGATTTTCAAGGCCTCAGATATATTTAAAGAACCCTAAAATCATGTGCTCTCTGAAAGATTTTTTAGTAATGCTAAAAATATCTCATGCAATTTTGAGACCTCACTGAAGTAGCTTTGAAATGATGAAAGTCACAGGATCCTGTAAGAACACCATATGCCCTCACTTTGGAACTTATTTGTTCCTTTGGGTGACCCAAAACTGTCTATGTTTCTAACTTTGCCATGGCAGAAGGTGTGGGGAGGACTGTGAGATATAAAGACTGTGGTTAGAGCTGTGAAATGCAAAGGCAAAATAGATGTCCTGAACTCCAAGTTCCCTTTAACACTGTACAGGAAAAGTGTGGTCCTATGGCCACACTTTACTCATTCTTGATCTACGTCCAAGATGCACAAAAGTAAAAGAAGGGGGACTCTAACTGATATTTCAGACTGATTCTTCTCCCCGAATACCTTTCCCCTTTTTAGTATTTTAATCATATATATTTATTTATCTAAAACAATGTGCCCCAATGTTCCTTTTCCAAGAGGCATTTAGAGTGTGCACAAAATATAAAAATAAAGAAAAGTAAACTTCACAGTAACCCATCATTAAAAACATTATATATGCAGGCAGGCATGCCTACAAGCAACATTTATAAAATAAAAGGGAGAGAAGTGGAATCCAGAAACAGTTCTGGGGCTAAATTAATAAACCAGCCACAAAAGAATCACAGGATTTCATTACCTGTTATTAATTGATTGTAATGGATCAGAGACTAATGCACCAAAAGAAAGCTATACAAACAAGATGCCTGGTTGAAATTGTTAAGTGTCACAAAGTTCACAGTTTTTAAAAGGGAGGGGAAGATATGTTTTATTGAGTTTTTCCTTGCTTTATTTAATCAAAGCAATTACATGTTATTAGGATTAATAATGTCCTACAATAAAATTCTAGTATGAAATTGTGTGATCTGATGAAATAGGGTTTTTTTTCTTTCACAAAAAAACGCACGCATTTACATATTGTACCCTTAAGATACATACATGATCATGCCCTAAATCCAGCATAATGTTAGCAGCTGTATGGCAATGTTATTGCATTTCTTTCCCCTCCTCTCCACCCTTCAGTCCTTCATCCTGACCAAAAGGGTATTCCAGATTATTTTCTAGTCTTCTTTAGTAGGGTTTGAGGGGTGCATAGGGGTGGGATAGTGATTTCAAGGTGCAGGGAGTATTATTTTGTCCTTAGTTCCAGTGATGGAAATAGTTCTATAAGAAGAACAGCTTTGTTTGAACAAATAACAAATCTATACTACAGTGCAACAGTAAGACGTTATGAATTACTGATAACCAACAATTCACAGACATCACCACAATGCACATTATTAGAACCGACATTGCATAGACGTCACATTTCTTAGCTGCATGAGTAAGAGCAGACACCGACGTGTTTCTGTTGCTATGGGAGTGGTGACTCTGCTTTTGATTTGATGACCATTGCTCCCATAGCTGCATCATGTTCTATAGAAGCCATTCAGGTTCTCCTACCAAAGCTAGGAGAGTTGTTGTAAAGCAAAGAGTAGCTGCCATGGAAGTAGTGATAAAAGCAAGAGTGAATCACCAAACCTTGGATGAATGGATGCACCAATCACTCCTTAGTAAAAGGATGAAATAATTTCATGAAGCATAGTGCTGCTGTGATTTTCTGTCACTGCATCAACCCTAGGTATACCTTCAATAGTGGCAGGGCGTGCCAGTTTTTAGTATGCTGGTTTTGATCTTTCAGGCTGGTTGCAAATCTATAAATAACCTAAGGTTTGATCATCCCTGGGACAGATGTCAGCTATTGTTAGAAGTTAAGACAGCGGTTCCCAACCTTTTTTTGACCAAGGACTACTTGACCAGGGACCACTCTCCAACATTAATACCAAAAGGGTTACAAATCAATTTTGGTCAACTTTAGATTCAGTTTGGTTATTTGGGGTGATGAGTCAGAAAATTGCATTGGATAAACATCATCAGCTCTAGTTTCTGATACAAAACATATGTCATCCAGTAGTCACCATCTGCTTGCCCACAGAAAATCATATTTAATAGGCCTGGGTAACAACGGAAAAATTTGTTTCTAAAATCGATTCGTTTTTGGGGGTTTTTGCGTTTCGTTATTTAAAATAATTACAAAATTTTCCTTTTA